GTCCGGGGGGACGCAGACCTGCCAGGCAAGGTGGTCCGGGGCGGGATGACACTCCCCCCCCGCCCCACGTACAAATGCACATGCATACACGTACACACATGCACAATTGCACACGCGCATGCACACACACGCATGCACACAACCAGAGGGCACGTGCACACAAACATCCACGCACATGCGTACACACGTGTACACATAGGGACACACGCACCCATGCACACTCGTGCACACACGCGCACACGCAGGGACACAGACACACACAGACACACATCTGCGCGTGTTCGTGCGTGTGCATGCACGCGCAGGGGCACACGCGCATGCGCACATCTGCGCATGTTCATGCATGCACATGCATGCACGGGGACACACACGCGCACAACGCGTATGCGCTCGTGAATCCCCCCCAAGGACACAGGCACACTCATGCACGCACACACAAGCGTGCGCACACGTCTATGCACACCCACGCACACACAGGGACACAGACACATATACGTACACCCCCCCGCACACACATCCTCGTGCACGCCCATGTATGCACAAGGACACATACACGCACGTCTATGCATGCTCACGCATGCACGCACACGCTCACACCCATGCACACACACACGCACACGCATGCACACACACACACGCACGCTGGGGAGTGCAGAGCCGTGCTCTCGGTTGGAAACAAAACAGAAAGTTCATGCAACATCAGCTCTCCACGGCTTCTTGTCAAGAGCGACCCGATTGCTCAACTAACACAGACATCAGTGCCTGTTCAGTCCGACAGATTTATTACATTTCCCTCTTTGGGGCATTACTTTGTGGTTACAATGCAGGGAAGACCCCAAATATTTTTTCAGCTTCAATTTTATAAGACCATTCTGTGCAAGTTTTATTCAAAAGGTTATTTCAAACTCATGCTAAAAATCACTGAATACACTAGTCCTATGCTTTCAGGTATGGAAAATTATTCTGGATGCTTCAGTAGAGGGGAGAAAACTTAAGGAGCTTGGAAGGAATTTTGGAGGATAGACAAACAGCACTGTCCAAAAATCAGGTTTCTCCCAGTAAGAAAATAAAGAAAACAGTAACCACAATGGCAAGAGCATCAACCACGGGGATTTACATGTAACAAGTCTGACACAAGGAGCTCTGAAGACTTTCCAGAAAACCTTGCGCTTGCGGTTGCTCTCTTTGCGTGTGACCAGTTGCTGCCAGAATATATGCAAACAAGGCAAGGCTAGCTGTAGTCTAAAGCATGCCATATATAATGTCTTTTTTCCCCACTGAGTGATGTCAAATGCACTGGGAGCCTTTATTAATGGGGAACTCCTTTATTTCTTAAGAGTCTCGTTCTAGCCTTGATCTTTATGCAAGCCTCCCAGGGTCCTCGGCAGGAGACCGCTGTGGATCAAGGGTAGTGCATGACCTTAATGCTGTAGTGCAAGTCCCTGGATCATAATTAAAAACATAATTTGGCCCTCTCCACAGAACGGGCTTTGACACCTCTGGAGTAGATGTGTGACCTTACCAGCCTCCTCATCTCTCATTTGTCCCACTAGAAATGGCACATATGTAAGCATGTAATCAGTCTGTAATTACATGGCCAACATGTTGAAATACACTGTTCCTCATCCTTTCTAGGAGCAGATTTACATATTAACACCTACTATTAACACCTACTAGCCTTAATGAGACAGACCCATGGAAGTCTTCTACATGAGAAAACAGGAGAGCAGACATCTCAATTTTCTTTTTAGCCCTCATGCTTAGACAGCGATCCAGAAGAAAAATTAACAGATAATTATTTCTACTGCACACACCATTAATTTACCTGTGGGTATATGACAAAGGGAAAGTTTTTTGACCTGGATTTCTTTTAAAAACAGGGCTAGAGGCATTGCTGGTGAAGAAGCACAGGGGAGGCTGGGCTGTGCAGCTGTCATTTCTTACCACGAGTGGCTGGGGAATGCAGTGGCTATGGAGTGATTTAGCTCAGGACAGAAGCCAAAAGCCAAATCTGCCACCGAATCTCTCTCTGAGTCCTGGGCCCGCCCTGGGTATCCATTCAATGCTCAGGGCATTGAGTAAACACAATAACTAATCAGATGCAGCAAGTTGTCAAATCTGTATGGATGCTATAAAACTTATAAGGATCCCCTTAGGCAATAATAATAGCTATGTGTGTAAATTCTGTACATAGCAAAGCAGAATAGATCCTAATGGGCTTCAGTAAAAGCAAAGAAAACATATGTGACATTTATAGCAAAAAAGAGTGTACAAATAAACTGAAGTTTCATCTCAGTCCTCTAATATTTCTGCCCACCTCCGTATGAGCTGGAAGCTCATTAAACTGCTCAAGAAGGTGCTGGCTGTTTCCACCAAAGGGCTGAAAGCCCCGAACCCCCCGGCCATGGGTGCTCAGCACCAGTCACTTGGTGTTTGCTGAGCACAGCTGGTATGTGGTGCACACAGAAGAGATCCTTCTCTTCTGCATCTACTGGGTGCCAAGGTGGCAGGTCCAAAAAGAACCTCCCAAAAAAGTAGCTCATCAAAAGCGTAACCTTCTAAAGTGCTATTGATGTTAGAAAACGGTGGATTGAAGGAACAAGAAACAGCAAGCAGAACTTAACTAAACAGATTTAACAATTTCTGCTGCTTTGACTGATTTTGTGAAGATAATATAATTAAACACTTAAAATGTGTATAGTAAGAAAAATAATAATTCTGCATGATTTTTAAAATTTGGTCTTGCAAAAAATGGTAACACTAAGTTCCTTACGCCTACCTTTAAAGCAGAAAAAAAAAGTTAAATAACATTAGAAATAGTTTTTTTCATGACCTTGGAAAATGAGACTAGCTAACCTCAGGGACAGTATCCTTCCCACTACACAACCATGTGAAGCAAACATGTGACACCAAAGTTTGATTCCTATGGCTTGTACAAGAGACGAACGAGCTTCAGAAATCTTCAGCAGGCTTTACAATGGCAGTTCATCCTGCTGATGAGAAAGCACCAGTGATGACAAACCTGGGTGAAGAGATCAGGAATGAAACCCACAGGAGGAAAGGGCTAAAGCCCAGTGAGCACAGAGAAAGGATCCTGCTGGGTGCTGCATCCCAGCCGCCCCTGCTGAGCCCAGCACAATCTGAAGGCGCTCTAGGTCTCATACTGTGTCTTCCTTTGAAAGCCAAATATTCTTTCTAGTCATTTCTTCCAATGAGATCTATGTTAGGCCATCAAACACCTCTTTTGAGTTGACTGCTATGAGGTATATTCACCCCACACCAGTCCCTAACCATGGTCAGAAGAGAGAGCTGAGAAAAGTTTGGCTGTCACGTCGGAGAGGCTGGATGCCTTTCAGGGTGACCCTTGCTAAAGAATATATCCAT